AAAAAAGGGGAATCAAAGAAACAACGTAAAAAGAAAGAAGAAGAAGAAAAGAAAAAGAGAAAAGAAGAGGAAGAAAGAAAAAGAAAAGAAGAAGAAGAAAGAATTAAAAAGGAAGAAGAAGAAAAAGCAAGAAAAGAAGAAGAAGAGCGTATTAAAAAAGAAGAAGAAGAGAGAAAGAGAAAAGAAGAAGAAGAAAGAATTAAAAAAGAAGAAGAAGAGAGAAAGAGAAAAGAGGAGGAAGAGAGAAATAAAGAAGAAGAAGAAAGAAAAAGAAAAGAAGAAGAAGAAAAAGTAAGAAAAGAAGAAGAAGAAAGAAAGAAAAAAGAAGAAGAAATGAAAAATATATTTACAAGGACATTAAAAGAATCTAAGAATGAAGGAGGGAAAAGATATAATTTAAGTGAAATGGAAAGTTATAGGAAATGTGGAATAAAATTACCAGAAGATGTTAGGAATCGATTTAATCTTATTTATCATGAAACAGTAGAAAGAATAGAAAATTCAAAAAGTAGAAATGAACCTAAACCAATTACATTATTTTCAAGTATGTTAGATGAGAATCAAAAGAAAGTATCAAAAATGTTAGTAATATTAAATCAATTATCACAAGAAACGAATTTAGAAGAAGCAGCGAAATCATTAATATATTATTTAAGAAGTGAAGAAGATATTAAAATATTTATTACACAATTTGTTAAAAGATGTGTTAATGAAAATAAATTTTGTAAATTATATGTTCGATTTATTCAAACACTTCGACAACAAAATGGATTAACACAAAATGTAGCACAAGGAGCAACAATATTAAGTGGAGCATTATTAGAGAAAGCATATGACTATTTTCATAAATTACCAGAACCAAAAATAATTCAAGAAGGAATGAGTCAACAAGAAATCGAAAAATTAAAAGAAGAAGAATCTATTGAACAAGTTGAATATCGAGGAACAGTTAATTTAATTGCAAATTTATTTGAATTAGGATTAGTTAATGAACGATTACCATTAACATGTTTACAAGAACTATCAAAAGATGTAAATGATATGAAAATTGATGCATACATTACACTATGCTCTAAAATAGGAGAAAAAATGATGAACACTGACAACACAAGTCCAATTTATGGAGAAATCATTGAAGTCTTTAACAAAGCAAAAGAATTAGAAAAAAATAATAATCTAAGTAAACGAATTCGACTCTTATTAATGAATATTATTCAAATGATGGAATCAGGTTGGACTGTTTCTCCATTTGGATCAATGCCACCAACTCCTCTACCACAAACTCCAGCACTACAAACTCCAGGATTAGTAGCATCTACTACACCCATTGTTTCTTCGCATACTCCTGTTACATCTACATATACACCAACACATTCTAAACAGTCTTCAAGTAAATATCGACCAAACAGAACATCGGAACAAATGTCACGACCAAAAGAACAAATATCACGACCAAAAGCAACAAAAATTTTTCCAATGAAATAGGAGTGAGATAATTAAATTTTATTTAGTTTTACCATTTCTTAAATCTTTAAAGTATTACTTTCAATTTGACTTAAAACAACTTATTCTCATTTTATTTATTGTTATTTTATATAACGATTCGAAGGTAGTACGTCAGAGACACAACACAGAACCCTAAAATATTTCCGTCCTTCGATTCCCCCAGTTATGGACTGGTTATGACGTAGCGTTTGGTTAGAAAAACATCTTACCTAGTGCTGCAAGAATGGCAGTGTTTATTATTTACAATGATGGGATATCATTGATAATAAATGAATGGGTATTTATAAAGATGTTATTATTACTTGTTAGGATATACAAGTATAATTGATAATATAAGAAAGATTATCAAAGGAAAAGGGTCAAGTGGTTGATACTAAAAAGAATATTAACCCAAAGCAATACAATAGTAATTATATATTCTCCTTAAAATAATAAAATAAAGAAGAAGAAATTTAAACCCATCAAAATTAAACAATGAATATTTAAATAATGAATGTTTAAAATACTCTATTCCACACCAAAAACGAGAAAATGAAATTCTCACAGTTCAACAACTAAAATCAAATAATAAACTAATAGTTGATGAGCAAACACTTTTAAAGCAAAGGGATTATTTAATCTCCGCTGAGCAAGGAACAATGGAAGATATTTCTATTAATACTTAATTATCTATTTTTTGTTTATTGTTATTTTATATAACCGCAAATAAATTGTCTTAACTGGTTCTTTTATTACTCCTTTTTTTA